ACTCCCAAGATATCCCCAAATTGAAGCCCTAACTCAGCAAAAATCAAGATCAAAAAATTGATCGATTCCAAGAAGAAGAAGAAGAAACGATAATGTTGACGGGCGAAGAAACGATAATGTTGACGGGAGAAGAAACGATGTTTAGGCAGTGGCAATTTTGTAATTTACAGAGTTGACCAAACGGCGATAGAGTCGAAATTGAAAAAAAAGTTGACGGAGAGGGTTGTATTGGGAAATTGTACGAGTACAGGGGGTACATTGAGAAAATTGAGAGTACGAGGGGGTTAAGTGACTCTCGGGCAGAGTACGAGGGGGTAAAGTGGAATTTACCCTTTATTATAATATTAAGCATAATAAATACCCTTTAAACACACATAAACATAGATGTCTTTAATTATGTGCAGATCAACGATCAATAATTATTCAGTGTATTTCACCGACTACAATATTAAAAATAAACCGTCAAAGTCGGCCGGACTCAATAATTTGCCTTACTTATTTTAAGATAGGCTCATTTGGATCAATTAGGTACACAATTAAAACCAAATGGTCCCTTGAGGAAAATTAGAGTGGGCAAACTTCAATAATTGATGATTTATTCATGAAAAATAAAAAAATAAAAATAAAATACTAGTTTCGTGTTTGAACTTTGAACATAGAATAAAAGCGTTGGACAAAGGCAAGGTTGTGCATCAATCACGATTTTGAATTGATTGCACGCTTTATTGTCCAATCAATCAATTTTGTTAGCTTTGACATAAAATCTGCTTATGAGTATTTTCTTTAATTTCTTAGGAAAAATCAATTATGATTTTTTTTTTTTGAAAATTATGGAAGAGTTTGAAAATTTCTGATAACCTAAATAAATTATGATTTTTTTTTTTTGAAAATATAGGTAATAAACTCTCAGGTTTCCCACTTGAAATACCTGAGAAAAATATGATTACTTCTCTTCAATATATTTAATTCAGCAATTCAACTATATTATAAAAATATAAATTTAAATAAAGAAATAGTCAAACAATAAACTTTAAAAAATAATATATTAAATAAGAATATTTGACCAGAAAGGTTTATACCATAGTTTCTTATACCGTAGGTAGGTAGATACAAACTTCGGCCAATCTCATTCTAATATATTTTTTTACCCAAATATATATATCTCAGAATTTACCCGCAATTACCTTTCCCGCAAAAACTCTCATTGCCCTACATAAAAGAGGGGAAACAAAAATCACAATTCCGCAGATTATACTTTATTTGAAGTGCTTCAAATCATCCTTCGTAATTCGTAAGAAACTCTTATGAATTTGTGTTTTTTGTCATCGGATTTCGCATATTTCTTACATATTTTGCCTATTTTTACTCGTTCAAGTGCGTCGGATTTTTTTTTTTCATACATTGATTCGTTACTGTTTAATGTTTATGATTCAATTCGATTTCTTCTTTTTCCTGCCCAGGTTTTTCGATGCTATGCTATTTTTTGATTTTGTGAATTATTTTTTGGGATTTTTGGGATTTCATCTCTAGGGTTTGACTTGCGTGCTTCTCCCCTTTGACTGTTTCTTTGAACGAGGTCTCTAATTGAAAATCAAATTTTGTCAGCTGGAAAATTGCGTTCGATTGTGTGGAATTTGTCGAGAATTTTTGGTGTTTTTTTGCAGCCTGCTGTGTGCTGATGCTATGATTATTGTATGAGTGTTAACCGTTTGGGCCATCATATGTATTTTTACAGTTAAAAACTACTCAGTTTCACCAAAAGCTCATTTTCAGCAAATTGACCTCTATTTGCGGTGTTACTATCTTTTCTAGTTTGTATATATCTTTTTGATGAATGGTAAAGCTAGGAAAAACATACGAACTTGTTTCTAAATTTTGGAAGGTATTAGGCCTGCTTACGTTTAGTTTCGGTTTTTGATCATTGCCTATATGCTCATTTTGCAGGAGATATTATATTGGGGAATTATTCCCAAGATGATTTGAAGAATTCTTTTGAAAATCTATTATTCAACATATGTTCTGACTTCTGAGATCGTCATTGTTGATTTTATGGTTGGTTTTGTGCAAGAAAGGATAATGCCAAGTTTGCTCTCATGAAAATTTTGGGCTTCGGTTTTGGTGGAAGAACTGTATATATTTATCATGGCTGTGAAGTTTTTGTCCATTTCTGTGGTTTGTACTGCTCTGAGCGTTGTTGGCCTCCATTACTGGACTGAAATCTCACTCAAAAAGTATATATCAGATGGTTTGAGTTTTGATGATCTTATTAATTTGGAGGATGGAAGCCATGCCTTGGAGTTTCTTTCGGGCTCGTACACCACTCTTGTTCTGGTTGCCAGTTTTGCGCTGAATGTATTTATCCTGATAATTTTAGGCCTAAAGGTAAGTTTCTCCCTCTTATTCGATTAGTAGTTTCTTGCAAATTATTTTTCCACTTGAGAGACACTGAATCAGCATGCTTTGCTAGGAAACTAATCTACATTTCCATTTGAATCTATGTGGTGGTTACAGCATTGTGTTCGATTTATTGGAAATTGTTGGAATATTCGTTTCCCTGGTCATAGTTTAAATCAGTATCACTAGGATCTGTTAGCGAAGAAGAACTTTTGCCTACTTGATCACATTATTTTTCTCCTTTTATGCAGACAATATTCTTTTCGAAGTTGTATACATCTGAGATACGGAAAATGCTTGAACGCCTAATTAATTATGTCATCTACAAGGTAAACTCTTCAGTCAGTTGCATTGTATTTATTGTCCTTTTTTTGGTTAATGTGACTGTGGGAGAGATTTTCATGGTCAAGACGTGTGTAAAGAGTTGTTATGTTATTGTTCTTATTCCCTTTGTAAAGATTTTTTCGTACTAGGTGTTTGCTTGTTGAAAAGAGTTTTGAATAGTTAGCTTTTGACAGGGAACTTTTCTTCCATTAGTAGTCCCAGCAACAGTCGTTCAGGCGGGGCTATGGTCGACTTGGTTGGCCGTGCTTTGTTTCTTGAAGGTATTCATTGAAATTACAACCACGCAGTTTGAAGTATCGGATATATATGGTGACATATTTCATGGAATTAATACATGCACATTGAACAGATGTTTCAGGCGTTGGCTAGAGATCGGCTTGAACGACTGAATATTTCTCCTTCTGCTACTCCGTGGACATACTTCCGCGTATATTGTGCACTGCTGCTTGTTTTCTCCGCTGACTTGCTCTGGTAAGTTTTAGTGCTATTACTATTTCAATCTTTTTTTGGTGCGCCTGAAGAGAGTATAATCTTTATTTCAATAAACTTTCTTTTAGTATTAATTTTAAGTTGAAAAACATGAAATGGTTGACAACGACATTTACTTCTTAATCTAGCTTGGAGGTTTATGAATCACTGAAGTTAAAACGATCTTAGAAGATATGATTTTGTGTGGGTGTATAATGTCGGCCTCATTGTTTCCTACAGATTTGCTAAATCAGTATTTTCTTCTTTTGTTTTTATCTTATTGCCATTTGATTGGTACATAAGATGTAAAATGCATGTTAATCGATAATGACTGTTCAGTAGCTTAATCTTCTTGAAGTGTTGTTTTTTTAGTTTCTTTACACTTGAGCAATGTGTGAAACTGAAAACCCTTTTATTGAGCTTTCTGTTGCTATGTTTTTCCAGCGTATCTAGACTGAAGCCATTGAATCCGTCTCAGAAACCACTGTCATTGATTGTTGATTGTAACTTTTTGTTCATAGTCAATAACTAGCCTATTCGTTTTTCAGCAGCAAGCTATGCTATGGTCCTATCACCCTTTTTTGGTTTGGCATGGCATATTCAACAATAGCTACTTGTAATAACTTATGATGTAGTCCAGAACCTTTTTAAGTTAATATTTTCACAAACCTGCTTCTTTAATCTCTGACTAAATATTATTTACTACTGCAGGATACTGCTCTGTCTGACAAAATATAGTGCAACTAGTCCATCAATGTTTTGGTTGTTATTTTTTGAACCTTCAAGCATTGCTTTTGAGACATTGCAGGTAATTTGACCTTTTCTAACACTAAATCCTTATCATCTGGACTTTTTATTTTGGCTGACAGTTTCTAAATTCAATCTGTAGGCCATCGTGGTTCATGGGTTTCAGTTGCTCGAGATATGCTGGCATCACTCTGTAAGAGATGGTGAAAATTGCCGATTATCTAAAATTTTTGATATATCACCCACTGGTGAGTTTGAGAATTATCTTCAAGTTCCTTTATTAATATAGGTACTCCTGTTTTTAAATTGATTAGCAATTTTATATTCCATAAATCCATTAACCTCTCTATGAGGAACATTGCTTTTCTTTAAATTTTCAAGTGCTGCCTCTATGCAAATAAATTTGTTTCTGTCAAGCATATACGTACATGTGAATTCATAGTTAACAATTATTTCCGCTCTGATTTTTTGTAGAATACATGCTCTGATTTTGGCGTTTCCTCGTGTTGTTCTTTTACATTCTAGAAATTTATTTTCTATAATGTGACCTATACTAGAACTGTTTGAGATTTCAAGAAGTTGCGATTTATATATTGATCCTGAACTTGGAATTAGGTTCATTGGGCGAATGGAAAGGCATGCTTATTCGGAATTTGGGCTTTTTCCTGGACATGATGACAATGCTAATGGCTCTCGCTCATTATCTGCATATTTGGTGGCTTCACGGCATGGCATTTCATCTTGTGGATGCTGTCCTTTTCCTAAACATCCGTGTAATTTTCCCCTCTAACTAACTACTAGTGTAAATACAAGTCATGTAATCATTCTAATCGTGCTCTTACCTTTTATTGTTCTTAGGCTCTTCTAAGTGCAATCGTCAAACGTGCTAAAGGTTTCATCAAGCTGCATATAGCTTTAGGAACCCTTCACGGGGCCCTACCTGACGCAGCGTCTGACGAGCTCAAAGCATACGATGATGAATGTGCAATTTGTAGGGTAATTATAACTAACATTTTTTCTTCCGCTCTAATATAGTTCATTTACTTACTTCCAAACATTTGATCCATCGAAATCTCGCAGGAACCAATGGCAAAAGCCAAGAAGTTGTCATGTAACCATCTTTTCCATCTTGCATGCTTGAGATCTTGGTACGGTTGACATAATAGTTGTCCAAAATTGCTTCTTATTTGTTGTCACTTAGTAATTGTAGGAAGTAAAACTGATTAATTTCAATATGACAGGCTGGACCAAGGTTTAAGTGAGAGTTACTCGTGCCCAACTTGTCGGAAGCCACTTTTTACAGGCCGATCTGATAATGGGGCGAATACAAGGGCTGCAGAAATTGCAAGAGATGAGCAGCTTGCTCGTCAAATGAGTAGGGGATTCGATCGCCCAAATCTTCCCAATCATAATCCACATACTGGTGTCTTTCCTAACCAGCCACAAAATCCAGAAACTGGTGATTGGAGGTCTGGTTTTCCCTAACGCATGAAAAATGACCAACTTACCCCCATTCATTCTTGTTTAGAACTAGTGTTTTCAAGTTAAACAAGGAAAAGGTCAATGGCTGAATCGTTATTGCATCCGAAACTTGGGAACTTATTGTAGTTATTTTCTGTCTTTTCTTTGTACTCCTTTTTTCCTATAGGAGGAACGGAATTGATGCGAGTTGGTTGGCTTTAGACGGAGCGGGACAATCTGGATTTAGCAGAGTTCAGATGGTAATGAGACAAATTGCTGCTGTAGGAGAGACGTATGCCAATACAGCCATTGAAGATGCTGGCTGGAGCCTGTTTCCTCCTAATTCCTCTCAAGCCGGTACATCTAGGTCAACTGTAGCTCCTTCGAATTCAACACGAGGTGAGGCTAGTGGTTTGCATGTGAGGTCAACCTCACGCACTGCAAACGATAGCTTAGCAAATATAATCGCAATGGCTGAAACAGTTCGAGAAGTGCTGCCCCACATCCCTGATGACGTAATCTTCCAGGTAAACTATACAGTTCAATTTTTTTTTTAATTTTTTTTAAATACCGAAGGAGGTTTTCTACTTTTCTTTTTGTGGAATATTAAATACATTTCTGATTTGCTGTTCAAAAAATCTGTTAGCCCAAGTTCACATCCATAGTTAACTGAGTTAGCTCTATTGATGGAATACAAATACGAGAGAACCAAAGGGATATTTTATATGTCACGTAATTTTGGTGTAAATTTGGTGCGCACGTCTTTGTTTTATCTGAGAGCACTATCTCATTCTGTGGAATTTGCAGGATTTGCAGCGGACGAATTCAGTGTCGGTCACTGTGAATAATCTTTTGCAAATGTGATATCGATGAAATATTTTTTTATTTCCTTCTGGTTTTTCTTCTTCGAGAGGCTATAAAAGCAGGTTCGGGCTCAGGCTCGGGATGCACAGAAATATCTGGTTTCTGAGTTGTGCTTAAACTAACTTATAAGCTCTTCTGCTGTACATAGAAGCGGCGCATAGTCAACCATTCCTTGTCCGAATGTGGAATTTTACCTACTTGTGTAAGGAAATAATCAACAATTTCACATTGTATAAAAATATATATGGCAAAGTTGGGTTTTTATTGCATCATCCATCATCTTGTATTATTATTATTACCATTATATGTTATAATGTCCGAGTTTTCTTCGACGATGATGCCTCGACCAAACTGTTCGTAATATCCGGTACCATGATTGAATTGTAATATCCTCTAATTGTTATTAGAATAAAAGCATCTGAGAACTGCATGAATGTACAAAATTATGAACCCACAAAAACAAAGATGCTTTGTTATTTTTTTTTTCACCTGATTAATAAATGTCGTAATTAATTCTGGACAACGTAGTACGAGAAACATATGTGTAGATGCCAAAAGCATCACGTGGTCAGTGGTCTTTCAGCATTGAACAATAATAATAATTAAAAAAAATTTAAAGACAATATGTAGATTGGGGCCTGAATAAACTGTTGGATAATGTGAAGAGTGAAGAAGGCCTACCTGAAATTAAATATTCACCCAATCACACGTCTTTTCCAACACTTAATTTTCAACAGTTTGTTTTGTCTCCTTGAACAGAAAATTGTGTACGTAAAGTTTTCAATCATAAGTTGCCAACATATTTACATATATATAATGCCTCTCTGTATTATAATCCTTTTAATTAATTTTACTCTGAAATAAATAAATCAAGAACATATATCATCTATCTGCAAGTTGAGAGTTCCCAATGAAAATGGTGGCAGCTGCTCCCAAATCTTGTTTGTTCATCTTGGTTACGTGCTTGTACATGCATGCATGCATTACTTCTCAACACAAGTATCCACTGGCCAATAAGGGTATTCTTGTAAATTACAGTCCAATTTCAAGGGGAACAACTGACGACAGCTCACGGAGTAGTACTACTAGATTAATCAGTTCAAAAACCAAGGAAGAAGAAGATGCTGCACTACTAATTATTTGCAAGAAAAACATTAATGGCTGTAATAAAGTAGCAAAATCAGGTTTGCTTTTCTCATTTATATATAAATTATATATAATTATATATATCTTCTTCTCGAATATATTTAGTATATAAAAATATATACGCAGGAGATCAAGATCAATATTCTTCCGTGAGGGATTTGCAGAGTGCAACAAAACCAGAGGTAATTAGTTAATTAATTAACTATAATTAGTTAACTATAACTAAATATAATATTAGATGTTACATTGTGTTTGTGTGTAGGATTCGAGATGGCCACAGTTGAATGCTGGAGAAGAGGATTCGCATTCCTCGATTTCCAGCGAAGAAGATTTAACGGTGACCGATTATCAGCTACCACGTCGAAAATCTCCGATTCACAATTAAATAAATAATTTATTATCTTTATATCTTAGATTTTATTTTCCTTTTACAATAATCAAGATGATGCTATTTGCTCCTATATTATATATAATTATACTATTAATTTGCAAATTGCCTTTAATCTTATTAAAGCGATTAATCACTTGTTGGTAGTTTTTACAATTTCCTTTTTAGTTCCCCACAAAATTTAATTTTCCCTTTTATGGTTTAATGACGAGGAGTTAGATGTTACAATTGGTTATTTATATCGAATGGATTTGAATCGTAGATTTGATTAGATAATTACCTACTAAGCACACGTACACATGGTTGCATGTATGTTGATTATGTGTAGATTTACGATTTAAATTCAATCAATGTAAATAAGTATGTGTAAGATCTAATTTCCCCAAATGAAATCGTTTGGAAAGTCTATAATAAAGCTTATTATATGCCAACAAAAATTGTTGAAAAAAATAAATAAATGTGGGCATTGGGTCGGGTTTACGTTACGGGTAACTCGAACCGGATACGGGATACCCGAATAAACCCGGATTTGGTAAAAGACTACTCCAATATTTATCTGTTTGTTTATCTTAACCCGTGATTACACGAATTAGGAATGACGTATTTACTTTGCTAATTAATGTTGAATATACCTGCATTGAGCATAGCTTAATTAGGTGCAAAATAAACAGGACAATTAACCAGCTGCCTAACTTAATGATTTTTCTAGTTATTTTTTTCGCTGTAAGTTGCATTAGGGCAAAGCTAAAACCAGTACTCCCTCTGTCACATATTATATGTCTTTTTAGAGAGTTTTTTTTGTCCCAAATTATTTGTCATTTTACATTTTCAATGAAGCATTAATTGCATTATTTTCAATTTTACCCTCAATCACTCCTAATTAATTAGTTCAGAATCAATTAATGTCGAGGATATTTTTGTAATTTTATCTGTTTTTTACTATAATCTATGCACATTTATTGATTTTCTTAATATGTGCAAAACAACCCAAAACGACATTTAAATTGGGACAGAGGGAGTACGTGTTTTAAATGTGTAATCACCCGCCAAAACCGCTTCATAAACACATGATTAATTGATACAGCTAATAAGCTTTAACTAACAGGTATCTCCTGCTTTGATCTTTTCTTTCCCAATGTGTCAAGGCCTAACTCTTAAAACATAAATACTTGCTTTAGTAAATACAATGTTAATTGTATTATATTTTTATTTAAAAATCAATATTACTTCTCACTTTAGTATTTTCTTCTCTTTTCTTTTGATAAATTACGAAAAAATCACTAAGGTACGAACCTAATTATAAAAATCCCCCCATATTTGCGTAATTACGAAGATTAGATTGTTAGTTCACATAAAATGTATTTTGTCCGTTTTACAATTTAATTGCTTGAAAAAAAATAAAAGGCAAATCACGAAAAACCCCTTATGTTTGCTTAATATAAATATAAAAATTCCCCAGGATTATTTTTTACGGAAAAAATAATATATTGAGAATCGTCCGAAAACCCGTCGGCACCACCACTCTTTCCTATTTGGCCTTTTATCCACCGAACACACCATCGTTGTTAAAGAACGCGATCAACACATACCTCTCGCAGATGGAGTCCACCTGGATGATATTGTGCATCTCCTTTTGGCGAATATCGCCACCAATCTTTGTGATCAATGGCGATTTTCGCAGCCGGTTCGAATTCTCTATCACTCGTTTCTTTAAAATTGAAATATTATTAAAAATTTAATAAAAAAATAATAAAAATATTTGTAACTAAAATAAGAAACACAAGAGTATTTCATAAATATGTAAAATTGATTTTACTGAATAAAAAATTATAATTTTTTTTTACAAAACAAATAAAAAAAATTAATGTTACAAAATATATTTTAATTTTTTTAAACAGATTTTCTATTTTTAATAATTTATAAAATAGAGAAATAAATAATAGTTAAAATTTGCTATAATTGGTGGGGTGGTGGGGGGTGGGGGTAGTGTTTTTAGTATAAAAGGCAGCCATTGCAGATCAATCTCGACACCTAATCTTTGAAGCATAAGAGTGAGAAGAGAAAAATAAAATAAAAAATAAACTGAGAAAAATAATAATATAATGGGATCAAGAACCTCAACAAAACCCAAATTTTCTCTCTCCATGATCAACCTTGTGTGCTACATCCTGACTGCCACCGCCGCCGCCGCCGCCTGCGACACTTGCACCACTTCTTCATTTCCATCATCCCTAACACTACCGGAAAGTAACAGCGGCTCCGGCCAAGGTGGCCAGCCGCCGGAAAAGTGCCCAATGGATGCAGTGAAGCTAGGTGTATGCGCCAATCTACTTGGTGGGTTGGTCAAAGTTGTGATCGGCCGAGACCCTCCGACGACCACCCCTTGCTGCAGTCTGTTGGCTGGGCTGGTTGACTTGGAGGCGGCGCTCTGCCTTTGCCTCGCCGTTAAAGCCAATGTTCTCGGAATTGTCAATCTCAACGTCCCTCTTTCTCTCTCTCTTCTCCTTAATGCTTGTGGAAGAACTCCACCAATTGGCTTCACTTGCTCTTAATTCTATATATATATTTATATATATATATATATATATACACATGCATGCCCCATGCATGTTTATATAATTAATTAATATTGTGTTTCAAATATTTGTAGTTTCTTTAATTTGGAATATAATTCCACTTTTCAATAAAGAGTGTGTGTAATGAAATAATTGATAAACTTGTTTATTTAAAATTTAGGGTAAATTACAAACACCCCCTGAGGTATGGTCAAATTACAAAAACACCCCTCTTGTTTGAATAATTACAACCACCCTCTCAACTCCTGATCAAATTTAGTGAAATCTTCGAGATTATATGGAATATTATCACTTTTGTACCCGTTTTATCACATTCAAACTCTACATTATGAAGCAGGATGATCATAATATGTGATTTTTAGCTTGTATAAATCAATTTGTGGTGCATCAGAAACTGTATTTTTACATAAAACGAGTACAAACTAGAGCACATTTCACGAAAATTAGATGATTATGTTGAATTTGGCACCATAAGGGTGGATGTGTAAGAAAAAATCATAGTTGAGGGGTGGTTATAATTATCCAAACAAGAAGGGGGGTTTTGTAATTTGACCATACCTCAGGGGGTGTTTGTAATTTACCCTAAAATTTAATATATTCGAATTATTAATATTAACAACCGCCATGAGAGAGATATAGAAACCGGCACAAAGAGAACCGTCGCGGCGGTTCACCAGTGAGATTAAAAAAACACATCCAATTAATAATAACTGCAAATTCATAAACGAAAAAAGTAAAAAAAAAAAAAAAAATACAAAAAAAAACCGGACGGAAAAAAAATGACGAAGAAGAAGAGTTCAGTAAAGTTGCAGAAGAAACTGCACGAACTGGAGTCGGAACTCACCGATGTGTTCCGCCTCTCGCTTGACCCCACAGCCTCAGATCCGCGCAACCATATGTCCTTCGACGACCTGAATCAGCGCCTCCGTTTCCTCAGCCATCTCATCTCGGCGGAGACTGCCTCTCAACCGCCGGAAAACGCCGAGCAGTTGCGCGTTCACCGGCAGAAACTCGACGCACTGAAGGACGCCTTTCTCTACTGGAACGAGTCTAGGGCTCGCGCTCTGCAGAACTCCGACGATACATCGTCGATTTGCTCCGATTTCACTCAGACGCCGCCGCCGCCTGTCCACGACGGCGTTCGTGGATTAGGTTTTCCAATTTCCGAGGCGGAAGTTACGTCCGGCGAAAATTCGCGGGAGAAATTGTTGAACAGTGTGGAGAAAGACGAGATTCGACCGCAGCCGCAAACCTCCCCCGTCAGACTGTACGGAACCGGACCGGAATCCCCCTTTCGCGACTGGAACGAATCGACAACCGGCGCTCTGCACAATCACGATGATTCGACTTCGATATGCTCCGATTGCACTCATGCGCTTCTCTACGACGACGACCTCCGTGGATCAGATTCTCCGATATCCGACCGGGAAATTGTCTCCGGCAACGAAAAGTCGCCGGAGAAGTTGTTGGACGACAGTACAGTGGAGGATGATAACATGAAGAAGAAGAAAGAAGAGACTGCAGTGGCGGAGGCGGCAAATGAGGAGAAAATACGCAGCGTAATGTGGAAGTATTGTGGAGTGTTCGGTAGCGGTATAATCCTTGGAGCCATTTTCGTGGCGAATATGTTCTCTTCCTCTTCCGATCATTTCATTCATGAAGCTCTTCTTCTTACTCCTACTTAGGCTAAATTTCTTCTAGAACATTTGTTGTGTAACTGATGAATTATATTTTGCTTACATATTTGGTTTTTGCTTTGTTGTAACACATAATCTAGAATATTCGACAAAATTTGACACTGAATGATGAACGTGTAACTACTATTACACAATTTAGAATCAACCAGAAGAAATAATGTAATAAATACTGCAGAACCTCGATAATTAATAACTTCACTTAAATAATAATTTATATACGTCCAAGCTCGGCGACAACGAGCTGAATTATTAATTTGATGATTTTATATTTTGTTAACTTAATAGAAATTTTGTTAATTTCAACTGTTAACTGTATATGAAAAGAACCTGCGAATTGATAATCCATGACAAAAAAAGACATCCAATTCGAAAAAAAAGTATCATCAATTCGAAAAAGACGACGAATTAAAACTACAAATTTTTCATCATCATAATAATTAGTTGGATGCAGGATCCAAATTCCAGGACAGGTAAGCTGGATCCCCTAAAGGCCTGCAACAATATTCATCCATCACCAAAAAAAATTATTAAAAAAAAAATGATTTATGTTTATAGATACAGCTTTTTAAAATTCGAAACACGACATATGGAATAATGAGAATTCAATAAAAATAAGTAAATAAATAATAAACAAATTACCTTGGCCTGATGAGATAAACGGAGATGAAAGCGACAGCGATGAAAAGGCAAATTCCACCAACTGTGATATAAACCTTGCCGAGAAAATCGTTCTTCCCGCCAATCCAAGTCGTGGTCGAAATAACCAACTTCTTTTTACCTTTAAAAGTATAAGTATTGTAATTATTGTTAATCACTACTTTAATCATCTCATTAGCTTCAAGATCAGTTTCTATCCTCCCATATAATTTCCTGAAATTCGGCAGTGCCGCGGTTCTCATCCAAACAAGAAGATCCTCTTGTTGATTCAACTATTCAGAAAAAAAAATTAAAAAAAAATTAACAATAATAGTTCAGCATGAAAAACGATCGAAGAAAAATGTAGAATTAAAAAAACTTACAGGAATGCTCTCGTTAAGCTTAGCACCACCGATTAGACTTCGGCTTTGGAAATTCTTCGGGTAGACTTTTGACCCGAATTTATGTGTCTTGTCACTCTCCCACGCAATGCCTTTTTTGTTAATTGGTAACGAATTTCCGTTTACCGAGAAACTATATGTGTCGTTAAATAAACTCCATGCAATAAGTCCACACGGGACTATTGGTTGATTATCGTTGTTCATGCTTTCCGGTTCACAGTGTGCTGTTTTGTGATCTGCTGCAGGGTTTCTGTACTGCTCGTCGTTTCTACTTTTCACATACCTACACCGAAGTATTCGTTTTATAGTCACATTTCATCAAGGACGAGAAAAAATAAACGACTTTCACCAAACCTGCGATGGTTTTGGTAGAAATCGTCGAGCTGATAGTACACGAAGATAGGATGCTTCATCTTTTTCGGAACCTGGAGAAAAATATTTCCGGAAATATTACTAATGCTAAGGATTATTAGAATTAAACATTAAAATAATCAGGAAAAAATAAAGTAGACGAACAATTAAGGTTCTTGTGCAGGTTTTATCTGTTTTGACATCTTGGATATATCCAATTCTCTTATTATACGCGGCTTCGGAATTTGAATTATCGACGGGAATGCAATCCTCGTCGTAACGGTCTATAAGTTCAACCACCTGCGCCCATGTAATCAAATGGCATTTAATCAAACACCTTATGTACATCAACAATGTTATCATACTAAGAGCCATAGTTTTCTTTCTGTGTGTGTATATATTTCTTTCGATTATCGATTATCGATTATCCGAGTGTTTAGCAAGATTTGAGGAGTGTTTACATGGTCGGAAGCAGACAAGTGCGAAAGACCGATCGGAATGAACGTTATGCCGAGAAAAATGAAAGCTGCCATTATCTGAACAAAATCAACAGTGAAGATGAACTTTTACTAATCAAAAAACATATGTTATATATATATAGATACATACACACACACATATATATATATATATATATATATATAGTGAATCAGATATACCAATTCAGGAGTAAGGATTGGTTTGCATGCTGGAAGTTCTTGCTGAGTAAACCTGGAATCTGGAAAAATTATAAATAAAAAAAAAATAAAAAGAAAAACTCTGTAAATTCAATCAATAAACATGATGAAGTTCTGTTACCCCACCTGGCACACCCACCCCCTACCCTACACCCCACCCCCACCACTGCCCACAAAATTGTACAAAAATCGAAAATCAAATAGAACAATTTGAACAAAATCAAAATATATAAAAAAAAATTGATTTTGAGATACAGAAATGAAAGAGAAAAATACATGTAGGTTTTTTGGATGCCTTAGAAGAAGATGATTGAAGGGCAGCATCTCCAGAGCTCATTGCGCAAATTCTATGAACACAAGCCTACGAACGAAGAATGGATCTTTTCGGAAGAATTTTTCATATACAGAAACAAAATCGGATCATAAAAACTGGTTGTGGTTTTTGGGAGAAAGGGAAAATAAAATTTAATTGCAGGTAATTTACGTGGATTGCGCACTCCAAATTTCCTTCCTTTTTTTTTTTTAATTTAAAAGAAAAAAGAAAAAAAGAAAAAAGAAAAAAGCAGTTAGCTAATGTAGCGCGGGGGTATAACTGAATGTATGAAAATGACTTGTAAGGGCAGTAGCCAAAGGCGTGGTTTTGTTATTTTGACTTTGGAGATAAGATAATTAATAAATGGTAATGGTATTTTCTCATTCTGCACTTACCAATATTTGGTTTTATTTTCTTTTTCCTTCGATTTTTTGTAACCTTTTGAAATCTAGCGTAATATAAAATAATGAAATAAAATAAATAGACAGGGTAAAGATAGAATTAGAAAATAGAAATCAAACTGAACTATTCGTGCCCAATCAAATGCCAACAAAGGTGGCCTATATGTCCGGCTTTAATGTGATATTCGGCCCAATAACAAACATTTGGCCCATATTTTAGTCATAATTATGTTTTTTATTTATATATATTTTCATGCAACATATTCAAAATAAATTTTAGGGTGAATTTCACTTTACCCCTTGTACTTTGGTTGGATATTACTTTACCCCCTTGTACTCTCAATTGCATCGATTTTGTCCCCTTGTACTTTGGTTGGATATCACTTTACCCCCTTCTACTCTCAATTCATCGATTTGCCCCCTTGTACTTTGGCTCGATATCACTTTACCCCTTTCTACTCTCAATTGCATCGATTTGCCCCCTATACTTGAAAAATTGTCTCAATGTAGCCCTCGCCGTGAGTTTTCAGACCTTTGACCTTAGTACCGATTGATCTAAGTTTGAAAATTAGAAAAAAACCACCCCTCACAGTTTAAATAATTATTAATAAAATAAAAAATAAAATATACAAAATAAAATTTGTGGCTGGCGTCGTGGACTATGTTTTCTCGTTGTCTTGATTTTTTTATTATTTTTTTTTTGTTTTTTTTTTTATTTTTTAATTTTTTTTAATAATTATTTAAAATGGAGGGGTGACATTTTAATAATTGTCACACTTAGATCAAACGGTATTAAGGTCAAAGGTCTGAATACTAACGGCGAGGGCCACATTGAGACAATTTTTCAAGTACATGGGGTCAAATCGACGCAATCGAGAGTAGAAGAGGTAAAGTGATATAGAGCCAAAGTACAAGGGGGCAAATCGATGAATTGAGAGTATAAGGGGGTAAAGAGATATCCAACCAAAGTACAAGGGGGCAAATCGATGCAATTGAGAGTACAAGAGGGTAAAATGATATCCAACCAAAGTACAAGGGGTAAAGTGGAATTTACTCTAAATTTTACTATCAACAATTAATTTGCAATTGATCATTAAATCATATAAATAATTAAGGAAACAAAAAAAAAATTAAAAAATTTGGTATTCAAACATGTTTCTAAAATTTTTAAAATCACTCTATGACCCATAACTTGTCCGACATGCGTCTTTGACTTGTCAACTCGAAACGTTTCGTGCTACATGGGATTTAGATATACTGTGGATCCTATTTGATTTAGAGGTCCATTTGATTCATGTTGCCTAGTAATTATTAATTGCAGATGACAATGTAGTAATGTTAAACATAACTAACATCTCATAATTTATTCCATAGCCCCATTTTGGTCCGAAGAAAATAAAAACGTCTCTCACAAAGGCCAAAAGCACAGTCATCGTCCTCATCCTCGCAGCACCAAATCCAGGTAAAATACCAATTATACCCCCGCCATCTTCGCCTCACCAAATCCAGGTAAGTACCAAAAATACCCCCGCCATCTTCGCATTTCTTTATCTTCAAATTCCTTTTTAAACCCTACAAATCCACCCCCACCAGACCCCATAATATCTGCAGGATTTTTCTCGAGAGAAGCTGAGAAAAATGAGTCGACTCAGGAGATTCGAGATCGTTGAACGTTCAACCCCTTCGTACTTCCTCAGAGAAACCTCCATTTTCAACCCACCAAAAACCCTAATGCTAAACCCTTGCTTCCCCATTGTTGAAGACGAGCTCGACTACGCGCTCGAACTACTCAGCTTCGCTCCAGCACCGCCCGTTTCCTTCGATCGCTTCGCCGATCTGATCCAGATCGACGAGACGCCTCTCCACACCTCAACTCGCCGGGTCACCCGCCGCGTCGGGATCGATGAGCTGTACCTGCACGCACTCAGCGACCGCGTTTCGGCTCTGGAGTTAGGGTTTGACCGACTGGCGAAGGAGGAGAAGAGCAGGAAGAAGAAGTCCGTCGACAGGAAGTACACGTGGACGGCCGAGATTAAGCGCCCGGAGGATGAGAGGAAGTACAAATGGACGGCGGATATTAAGAGCGGGAAGGATGTGAAGAAAGCGCCGGAGAAGAGTTACAAATGGACGGCCGAGATTAAGAGGAATGGCGCTGGAAACTCGCCGATCGAGCAGACGTACACGATTAAGGTGACTAGTGGCAACAAAAGCAGTGAATCGATGGAGGAGAAGAAGAAGACGAAGAAGAAATGTGAGAAAGTGAAGGAGTTCAAATCAGTTGGGTCAACTGCCCGCATTGTTGACATTGAAGAGCCCTCTGATCACGGCGGCGTTGTTCTAAGGAAGGTTGGTATAATTGCTCTTAATTTTGATGTCTCTTTCTTGCAATAATTCATTGGTTTTTGCTAGCTGTTTTTACTGGAGTGCAGGATTTCTTTTGTTGATGTCAGATCTATGATTATTGTTAATGGAGATCCATATGGAATACTATTGATGATTTGTATAATAGTGAATCATTACTATGTAGAAGTAATTAATGTTAGAAGGAAATAAATGGAAGGTGATAATTCTACTGAACTGATTATAATTTATAAATGTTGTGGACCAAGTTAGTTGGTACACGTAAGATCGGCGTAGTCGGTTCGCATAGTTGGGACGATAAACAAACCTTGTCGTGATTCCTATGTTGTCTAATTTGGAGAATAGCTACTGTGTAGTTTGCCTTAATTTTTAACTCTTGGCATCTTAATCAGCTTTTGTCACTTTATGCATTGTTTTTTTAGTTCTAATATAAGAGGGAAGTTAGGCCTTATCGTGTTTGACCACCGATAACTAATGTGTACTTTTGGTGTTCTACTATGGCCTTGACTAAGAACAGAGTAGAATATAATTTACAGTGGTGAAAGATATTATTGACAGGTAAATAGAAAAATGACTGAAATCGGAGAAAGTCGATGATGAAGGTAGTCTTGAAAGATTTTTCCTACCACTTAGAGCCCATGGAGTTATCTCTCTGAGGAATTATTTGATTTATCATTCGTTTAAATGATATTTTCTTTTAGGAAGCTATCCTCTACTTCATTTCGAAATTTTTTTGCTGTCCAAAGATTATTAACTTTACGTGTATTTTGTTTTTGTCTATGTGTTATAGTATGTCTTATTTAATGGATGCAGGTTTTTGCCAAGAGAGTAGAAAAGAAAAGGGGGAAGAGGAAGGAGTTATCTCCCCAAGAAGCAGCAGATCTTATTCAGAAGAGTTTCCGAGCATATCTTATCCGAAGGTCACAGACTCTACGCGCACTTCGTGAGCTGGCAATTGCAAAGTCCAAATTGAAGGACTTGAGGGCTCTATTCAACAACTTCTCGTACCGCCGCCTGCTTTCTCGAGATGCAGAGGAACGTCAGAGATTCTCCGAAAAGCTCATTGTTTTGCTTCTTACGGTTGATGCAATTGAGGTATCAGAAAATAACATATTGATTATGTTAATAAATAATGGGGGATCATTATGTTTATTATTTCTACCTTTTTTTTTGTTAGGGTGTTGATTTGATGGTTAGAGGTGCGAAAAAGTCGATGGTGAATGAGCTGGAAGCGATGCTTGATGTTGTGGATCCGGAACCTTCCGGAAGGTCTTTGTCCATGAAGAGAAGAACGTTCGATTTGCCTGATGGAATGATCGACAAAGAACTTGCTGCGGGTGTTGCTCAGGTTGTTCGAATGCTGGATCAAGAGGAGACTGGTTCCGAAGCTTTTGAAGCGTGCCTGTAAGTTTGTTTTAACTCCACTTTGACGACTTCCATTTTCGTTTAGGTTTATTGCTATTATATGCTGCTGGGGTATTTTGAAGACGCCTATCTAGTTTGAAGAGGGATTCTACTTCGTTTTGAATCTTTTATTTTTCCCACTAAAACCTTGAACAATTGTCGCTTTCCTTGGTTTATTTAACCTTTTATGTGTGTGGTTTGAATGGTACTAATGTATTAGTATAATGACGTTTCTGATCTTTTTATTTTATTTTCGATACTAGAAGTTTTGACAATAATGGTGCAGTGTGCGTAGTAGTTTTACTGGAGAATTAGTAATTGGTTGTTCTGAAACTGTGTGTTATCTTGCTGATTGGATTCACTTGTGTAAAAATGAAAATCAAGAATTTAGATTTTATTACGAAATAAAAGCACCAAAAAATGATTTATTTCAAAAACACTTATTCCGCGTGCCGATGTGTGAACTCTAGATTATCGCCCTCTTAAAGTCATGAATAACGAGTTTGAAAAGGTCTTAACTTTCGGAAGACGGGTTTCATCGGCAAAGATCCAATTCAGGACTGTGGAGTTTTTTCTTGCTTAAGCGACGTGGGTGTTTAAACTTTAAAACTCGGTATTCAAACAAACGCTTACTTAATTGGCTTGATGATTTATCAATGTTGTTGGTATGTTGATTAGTTATCATACTTGATGAATGATGTTGTATACATGAAAAAAAAAATGATTACATACAAAAAATTACACATCATTCCTCCGAATGAAAGGATTTGGATGAGCGATTTCAAGGTTGCAACAACAAAGCTCTTACGTTCGAATCGAGCTTAAGTGACTACTACTTGCGCGATTAGGGAATGAAGTCGGATGGAAAAAAAAATATCGGAATTTTTTATTGGAAAATAATCATTGGAAAATTGAAAATTCTATTTCTTTGTTGACCTATAATTTTGTTCTAATTTGAACTTGGTAGATCAAGTGCATAACTTATTTGGTGAAAAAGTACTAAGATTGGACTTTCTAGATGTGTTTGCTACTACATAAGACGAAAATAAATTTGTTTCGGAAGACGTGAATATGAACTTAATAGTACGGAAATCTCCCCCCCTATAATAAAAAATAAAAAAACACCCCCAATAGTATAATATGTAGATGAGTAGATACATACAACGATAGATGAACCTTGTGCCAAAACAAGGGTGTATTATTTGGGATTTTGCCTTGGTATTATAATAATCATAATAATAATTTAAATTTAAATACTCTATTTGGACAATTGACCACCCAGCTCACATTGTTTGGAGAAGCCCACCAGATTTCTATTTATTGCCCCCCACAGAATACCTAATTTACCTACAAATTATTAATCATATTTATTACTACAATTTTAAAAGCAGATCTTCGGTCAAAAGTTGAAACTACCTTTTTGTTCAATTAATCATCAAAAAAGAAAACCCTTCAATTACGCGTAAATGCCAATAAAAGTAATTTTTTTAAGTGATTTGTTGGTAAAATAAAAAAATGTTTTATTCTCTTTTTTTTACAAATAAAACTGACATCTGAAATAGTAATATTCAACAAAATTAATAATTTTAGTAAACTTAAAATACAATAAAATAAAATTGCAAATTGTTAAATGAAGAATAGTAAGTAAATACATGTAAATCTCAAATAACAGAAAAACAAAAAACATGTATTTACAAATTTAATTAATTATTTGACGTATAAACACCAACTACACAATAAAACAAGAAAAAAAAAAAAAGCGTCAGAACTCAGAAGCAGAAAGACCTTTGACCTAATAAACACACCCGGTCTTCGGGCCGTCCTAACCCGGTTGGACCGGGCTTGCCCGCACGAGCTTCAATGAAAGATTAGCATGGGCCCACCTGACTACCACGTGGTTGGTCATTTGTCAATTAATTTCTCTTTCTACACCATTTATTTATTTAATTTTCTTTTATTAATGTGACCAAAAAGGTTTCACGCTTTGGAGTAATGTCCAAACCCCAACCTCGAAGATGGCACCACTCTACCTTTTATTTATTATATATTGCCAACTATTTATTCTTTTGTAAAATAATAAAAAATTAATTGAATTACCAATAATAATAATAATAATAGAATTTTGTATATAGTATTTCGGTTCAATAAATATGCAGATATAAAAAAAAAAAAAAAAACACGGGAAAAGGGTTTTTCTTTTTCCTAATAGCAGTTTTACTTAACAACTAAATAAAACATTAGTATTAATTAGTAGCACCAACACCAACAACTACTGGGACCCACAGCGCTTCAACCGACATAGATCCAGCTGGCATAGAAAACGACCATACAAAAGTGGGTCCCACTGCCAACGTGGCCACGTCAGACCTTACACGGCACACAGATGTCTTTACACGCATCAGACCCCCAGAAGTCGCATTATCACGTTTAATGCGCCTTTCTCCTAATAGACCACTTAAATAATAGTAATAAATAGTTAATATATTAATAAATACGCCGCAGTTTTTTTTTAATTAATTAATTAATTAATTTAAAAATATGGTTTGGTGGAAAAACTTTATTATAGAGGGGCTGCCAAAATTTCTTCGTACCATCCATTTTGACATTTTCCATTCAATAGTCACAACAGTACATTTTCCACCATTTTTATTTAATTACAACTTATAGAAATTAAATAATTATTTATTCACATTGAAAGGACATAATATTTTCAACCAGGGCTATTATTTTAATTTAATTTATTTTTAATTAATCCCTTGACGAACCGTATTATTTTGTTTTAACTGTATTTATTTAATTAAAATAAATAAAATGCCACGCCACACACAATTTATAAAAAAATTATATGGTCAAAAATCTCGTGGCAGTATCGAAATTTACCACCACCAAACTTGTGTCCGGTTTCAACCATACGGTTCTGTGTTGTTTCCTCTCACCTTCCTAAACACGCCTCTTTTTTCTCAGTCTTCTTCTTCTTCTTCTCCCTCCCCTCTATATATATCTCCCTCTCATTCAACCCTGACCTCTTTCCTTTTCCCTCCTCTCTAATTTCTGCCTTACATATATATATATACATACATATATAGATACAGCTTTCCATATTCATACATTTCCATCGATCTCTGCGAATTTCACGTCTGGGTTTCTGTTTTAATTTTTCTAATAGAGACTGTCGTTGTCTGGAGAAGGTGACGTCATCTCTCTTTATTAATATCATCTTGTTCTTCGTGCCTTGACTCTATTCACAACGCTTTTGTCTGATTGCTGTTCGCTGACGTTGATTTTTCTGGGTTTATTTAAAAAAACTAAATATTTTTTTTTTTTTTTTCAGGATTTAATCGGCATTTCGCAAATTCTTTGCGTCCCATTTGGTTTCCCCAAGCTGTTAGGTCAGGAAAAACAAAATAAGGTACGGTGCTCCCTTTGAATCTAATTTACATGCATGCGGCATGCCTAAATGCAAAATTCATGAATTTTTTTTAAATTGAGTTCTTGGCAGTTTCTTGATTCTTCTGGTAAATGCGTTTGAATACTTCTTATTATGGTTTTAATGGAAGAAATTTCAATTTGTTTTACAATTTATAATTGCCCATGTTCTCAAGATTATATTTTTTTCTTCCCCAGATTAATTCCTCTGTTTTCTAAACTAAAATTCAGCTTCTTTCTCCAAGAATATTAAGATTTTATACTAAAAATATAATCTTTAATTATTTTCTTTTAATTTCTTCTGCAACAAAAAAAAAAAAAAAAAAAAAAAAAGAAGAAGCCCTAGCTGTTCTTTTAATTTTCTATTAATTCTGTGTACTGAAATATTACAAATTCAGTTAATTCTGTTTTTGTTTTTTGTCCGAAGGGTGCAACATAAAAACTAAATCTTGAATGTAAGATGTGTGGCCATGGAGATGTATGTAACAGTATAATTTGATGTGATACACTCATTTGTTTTCACCTCAGTTTTTTTATATGCAGTCCTTTTCAAGCTGTCTGCTGCTTCATTGCATAATAAATGAACCCCCCCTTGCATCTTGTTGCCATTATTATTTCTTTTCTTTTAATTTTTTGATCTAGCAAAAAAAAGAAAAATTAAAATTAAAATTAAAATTAAAATTCATTGCACTATAGCAGTAACATTATGGGGTCACTTGAATTTTCAATTGTTTTGATGAATGTTCGTCGTTTTGTTGCGTTCCTTATTTTTTTATTTGTCGGGTCCATATCGGTTAATTGCCCCCATGCTTGTTGCTTTATAGG